TTAAAAATAAAATAAAATAAATTGAAAATTAAATAAAGAAAACTAAAAATAAAGAATTAAATTTAAAAAAATAAATCAGGGGGTATTTACGGGTCATGGGACCCACGGTAAAATTGAAGTTTTTTTAACATGAGATGAGTATAAAGACGCACAGTCTCACGAACGAATAATTTAAATTTATCTAGCTTGTCTAATGGTACATTGAGGAATTTAAAAAAGTAAATAAGATATTTTACAAAATACATTACTTGTTGAACATTAAGCTGACCTTGCAAATTCCAAATTTTATTGTTCTTAAAAATATTGAACTATTTTTTTCTGTAATAAAACATCTGATAAGTCATTTTTTTTTAACTTGCCGTCAATAAAAAAAACCACTTTCTGTGAGCATTCACTTTGATACAATTTCAGTAAACCTGCATAACCGCTGGTTGTACGTGAGTAGTTAAGGCTTAAAAAAAGTTTTAAACATATTTGCACAGCTTTATCAAGTCATAAAATATTTTTAATAAGATTTATAGTTTTAAATCAAGAATTCTATAATCTTTCATATAATATTGAATAGGTTATCAAAAAATATGTTCAAAAAACACTTAAACGTTCCTTAGTTTTAAAGATTAAAATAATTTGAATCATTTCCTCCAACATATTTTGTTCCAAAACAATGATTAATAACATTATAGTTTATCACATAAAAAGTATTATGTTGTTAAAAAAATGTGGTATACTTGCAGCACTTAGTTGTATAAGGTTCTAATACCGTTTATTTCTTACAGGTTTGGTATTTTTCGGAGCTTAATGAACATCAATGAAGTTTTCGTTTTCCTACAATAAAGAAGTATTTGATTTCAAGTCCTGCTAATTACATTTTTGAAATATTTTAATTCTGATAAGTGTTAAAAATTCACTAGACAAAAAGCAAAAGTTAGCAAGAGTCCATACGTAATACAATATGGATCTACATGCATACAGATGCAATGATTCTGTATCAATTAAATCTGAAGATACAACAATGCTAGCTGTTGATAGTTATATATCACAAAATTATACAACATTGAACCTTTGGCAACTAATTAGTAAAAAAGCGTATCTTGCAATTTTACTATCTTTACTTTCTCTTACAACAGTTACTGGAAATATTCTTATTATCGTTGCTGTCGTAAAGGAAAGCTATTTACAGACAGCTACCAACTTCTTTATAACATCTCTGGCATTTGCAGATTGCTTGGTGGGTCTTGTTGTTATGCCTTTTAGTGCCATGTATGAAATTCTGGAAAAACGTTGGATATTTACAATAGAATGGTGTGATACATGGCGCTCACTTGATGTTCTTTTTTCCACAGCTTCTATTTTAAATTTATGTGTCATAAGTATAGATCGATATTGGGCGATAAAAGATCCATTTAGCTACCCACTAAAGATGACGTACAAGCTAGCTTTTACGCTTATAACACTTGTTTGGCTGGCGTCTAGTCTGATTTCATTTCCAGCAATAATGTGGTGGCGTGTGGCACGTGCTAATATTATTCCTCAACACAAATGCCCTTTTACAATGAACTTTGAGTATATCATATTTTCTTCCATGATTAGTTTTTACCTACCTCTAATTGTTATGGTCTTCACCTACTACAAGATTTATCGTGAAGCAGTTGTTCAAAGCAAAAGTCTGCGGATTGGAGCAAAACAAGTCATTTTGGCTTCTGGTACACTTGAACTCACTCTCCGGATGCATAGAGGTGGTCGTCTTTCAAGTAATTACATGTCTTCAAATGATTACCTTTTATATAGAGTAAGGCGATCAATATCACAAGGTTCTGATAAACATCTAAATTCCTTTCGTGGTATGGGCAATACAAAGTCTTCTATATGTACTAAATCAAAAGAAAAACCGCAAATCATAGCTTTGAATAAGAGTTTCTCACTCTCAAAGAAAATTTCTAAATTTTCCAAAGAAAAAAAAGCCGCAAAAGCTCTTGGTATTGTGATGGGAGTATTTATTATTTGTTGGTTTCCGTTTTTTGCTGTTAACTTATGGTCTGGATTGTGTGATGAGTGTATCTGGAAAGAAGAGAGCACATCGACAGCAGTCTCTTGGTTAGGATGGATAAACAGTAGCATGAATCCAGTGATTTATGCATGTTGGAGTAAAGACTTCAAAAGGTAGGTGCTCTATCATTTAAAAAGTTATTTAAAGATTATATACTAAACAACATAAGGTCAAAAAATCTTTGTCAGTAATTCTTATTTTTAAGAATATTATTTAAGTAATAACAGTGAGGCTGCAATAGAATGACAAATAAGCGTCTCACCTATTTAAATTGGGGATTCCTGTTTATTGGCCTAGTAGTAACCATCAAGCATGTCTTAAAATAGTCTTGCTGTCATACGTGTTAGAATATGAACTTTTCCTGTTAGAACCAGAGATTTCTTGATCTAAAAATTACAAGGATAACTGGAAGATGTAATGTTTCATTTCATTTTTCTTTTAGCCTTAGGGCCTACTTGATTCTTTAATAATTAATGTATGTTTATAAAATACCAAAAATTTTGTATTATAAGTAAAATTACATCTTGCCAAAAAAAATCATTTACATTCCTTCAATTTTAGAAGTTAACGTTTTTACTTGAGCAAACGATTTTATCATCACAAAATCCCAATAGCGTTTTTCAGTCTTTGTCTTGGTCATTCTGTTTTAAATATGTTGTTTATCATTGACTTGTGTAAATAATAGTTAACATTTAGCTATGGTGTCCTCTATACTTTGTTAAGTCCTCCCAGACAGTCCCTTAACTACAAAAATTTTACCTCGTGGCCAAGTACCAAGCATGTGCAGTTCCTACTTAGTTGCTAATACCAAGACTTTCTTTGGCAAATCTTATACTTCTTTTTGTTCCTATGCATAATATAAGTCTATTGATATCTGTGAACCACACTAAGATGTCTCAGATAATATGGAATAACTTTATGTGAGTTGTGCGTACCATACACTCGTGGGATATAAGAGCAAGTAATTGAGTAAAAGTGCAAAGGACAGATATCAGTTAAAAAAATATTAATTTATCCTTCTTGTGAAGCTTTTTCATATGCTCCTGGAATTAGAAAAATAATGGTCTGAAGTCTCGACTTTTTGAAGTAACTTACGGTTACCAATCACCTAACGAATCAATGTTATTAGCCGAAACCATAGGCAGGAATGAATATGGTTCACATTCTAACTTTAAAGCAAGTTGTCTTAATAATTTGCCAAATAAGGCAATGCAATAGTACTGGAAAGATTAGCTGGTTTCAAAATTAAGGTCAGCCATAGTGCAAGTACATATCAATCACACAAGTGAATCATAAATTTTCAATTTAATATACACAATTGTAAGTCTTACGATGGATACATATATAGTACGTAACGATAATAGTGCGTGGAAAAGGCGATTGATGCACACATGTCAGTCACATAACCTCTCGCACGAGTAGTGTAAACAACTTTTTAATTTATCGTGCGCAGGGAACCAAATAACGAGCTTTCTAATGTGATCTGTAAAGACTTCCACGTACACACGCACTCGCACGAGAGCGCAGCACAAGCTGCGAGTAGTGTCTGTAAACCAAGGTCGTTAAAGTGACAACAGATGGTTCATAATCAAGTCCCCGCACACGACGTGTCCAAAACATCAGAAGTAGAATTAAAACCATAGCACACAGAACAACACGCTCATAACTTTATACACGCATACATATTTATACTTACATCAATACCAATACATTGTTAATGTAAGCATATTGTGACAAAGACGTACCGATGTTATACTTCCAGTACGCTATGTACATGGTCAGTGACATATAAGTCATATTTATAGAACATGACGTATACGCTTTTTTTGTTGAATGCATACTTTGGTGTTATGCATGTTCTCGATATTAAACACCCTCCTTTTTACATAATTGCCATCCTTGGTAACTGCATATCAAATAATTGTACACACTAATTCATGAGACATACCTGTTCATTACATTATTACAAGGTTTTCCAGATATTGCTTCCACAATTCAATGGCATTCGTTTCAATATTGTATCTTGATAAAAAAAATCTGACAGGTCGACTTGGTTATTCTTAAACTATAGTTCATTAGCACGTAGCTGCTTTTGTACTAATAAGTGGCTAAAGTCAAAAGCAGAATACTTTTAACTTCACTGTTCGTTAACGTCTTATTGTCTTTAAAGAAAAATTATTGATTAGCTATTCAATACTTTTGCTTCAACTGTAAAGTAATACAGTTGAGAGCCAACCTACAGATATTAAGGCGTATAATTTACTTATGCTCATAATTTTTTGGTTCAATTCTTTATTTTTTTCTTGATTATTGTATGTTGATTTACTGTAAGGAGTTGCATCAGTAAGAGTCATGTTTTTAGTGGCACACAAAAAGAAAAAACGATTTTTACAAATAGTACGTACAAGGTTAAGTGCTGTTTGATGCTGACTGTATAAATGGCTATGAGTAGATTATTTGTTTATTAGTAGGTACGTGTGACAATAAAATAAATTGTCATAAGCTATGTTCAAATCCATACAGAATTGATGATACGCTGGATGAGTACCTGAAACCGCTTTCCTTCCATATTATAAGTAAAAAAAGTTACTCATACAGGTCTCACGTTAATAATTTTAAGCAAAAATTCTAGCTAACAACTTAATGGTTGTTTCTATGAACAAATTTTGTATTAAAAATATATAAATTCCACGTCAAATACTGTGCACCAACAAACAGTATAACGTATATTTACGATGACGTATACAAAATAAGGAGAGAGAATTTTAAAAAGATTATCTAAATTAGCTAATACAATAAAATCCGTGAATGTTCAAGGACATTACACTTCAAGGGTCAAAATACAAATATAAATCTGACGGAAAAAAACCAGAGACTACAATACTATTGGTAGATTCAACTTCATTTTACCATGTAGGCTATAACTTAAGTTAACTTTTTTATGACAATAATAACTTATAATTAATTTTGATAGTCTCATATAAATGAGCTTTAAATTCAGTACGTGCAGTTTTAATTTTAAACTTTGCGCTTGATAGTACCATCTATCGTTCCCTAAGTGGTGACTGCTGGTTTTTAGAGAACACTACTATTAATGAAATGGCTTTTTCTGTATTAAAGAGACTACGCCATGACTCAAAATAACTTACACGGATTACCCAATCCTTAGTTAACGCTAAGTCTTAGTTTACTCTAGGAAACCTACGAAACCTGGCTAGACCATGCTTATTTAATGAATATCGCTGTATATTAATACTACCACGTTAAGTTCGTCTCTCTATTTCTTACCAGCACTCGCCTACTACTGCCCACACTCTTTGCACAATCATCTAACGAACGAGGAAATCAAGCGTTCATTACACTAATGGCTGGCTCACCTCACTTGCTACACTTTACTAGCAAGTCACCCAGAAGTTCTAGTGACAGCTCAGGTCTTAGTAAAAATTATTATCTAATCACGCTTAGCTCATTATTTTCATAGATCTGGTAAGGCAATCCAATACTTTCAAAGATGACTAACGCCACCCACTACTGATATTCACAATTCAAAGCCACCCACCTTGATAGGTTAGTTGTAACAAATGTTTCAGTAAAGAATTAAGAAATCCTTTCTAACCACTCGGTTTGAAATGAGTTTTTTGTGTGTTTTATATAAATCACGTATAATTATCAACAAATTCTTGTTAAATAAGAATGAAGGTTATCCTACGAAAAAATTTTGGTACATTGGATGAGATTTTCATATATACCAACTGCCCCTCCACATTTGTATAGTTAATAGAGAGAAAGAGAAAGAGAGAAAGAGAGAGAGAAAGAGAAAAAAGAGAGAGAAAGTAAAAAAAGAGAGAAAGAGAGATCGTGCATACGCCACTGCATGCATGTATTGTACGCTATACTACACTACTCTCTGTGAAGAGAGCATGCAGTTGTGGAGGACGAGCTGGAACAAAGGCGGTGAAGAAAGTGTGACACTTTCTCTTACATTTGTCTAGCAAGGGCTCTACTTGTTTTTTAATTTGAAAAGTTTTTTTTTTCAAAACGAAAAGCTGTTTAAACAATAATTTACTTTTTATAAAATTAAAAAAATTGATTATGAAGAACATAATCCTTATTAATATTAAGAAGATGCATGCACTGCTTGAATCTAGTAGTTTGTAAATTTCCGAAAAAACATTTAACTGAAAAAGTAAGTTCATTATACATACTTTATAAGTTAGTTAGTTAAAGTTTATTGTGAGATATATATTTGACGCTGGTACCTGAATTTTGGTGCGTGCGTAATAGCAAGGAGTTGAGACACTGCTACGCTACACTGCAACATCAAAAACGTAAAGCTTGATTTATTTCCACATGGTCAGTCTTACTCTCCCTGCTTTAGTATTTCTTTTTATTGATATGAAAAGTAAATATTTCGATTCGTTTGATAGCAAATTCAAGACCTTAGAACATAAAAATAGATTTGATTCATACTTCAACTTAAGACAGCCAATTGAAAATAGAAAGATAGATTTGATTTTGGATAATAAGCCTTAATAATTAATAGCAAATGAAAAAAAGACTCGATTGATATATGGACTATAAATAGTACATTAAGGATCTGAAAGATAGAAAAGATAGCTTAAAGAATCAGACAGATACTTTGCATGAGGAAATGATGGGCACAAATAACAATCTTAAATTAAAACTGACTAAAGAAGCCTACGAAAAAGATATTGAAGAGATATAATAGTTAATTAAAGATATAGAGCAGACTTCAAACTCAATACTTGGTATATTATCTCTAAATTATTAAAATATAATGTACGTTATTACTCATCCCACGATAATAATGCAACAATTAATCATATGAAAAGAAGTAATGTGCAGATGAACACGTATCAAATATAGAACAATATTAACATTGTTAGATTATTAGATTTGATCACGCAAAGCAAAGTGTTACTAAATTTTGGTGAATTCTTGGATGGACTAAGATAGATTTTGAATGGATTTTGACTGATTTTGAACTTGTTAGTAAGACTCAGATTTTTTTTGAAGATGAAAAAAGAGATGGCTTTTACCATACCAATGTTAATAAAGTACCAGATGTAAAAATTGCAGATCCTAATAGACTGATT